AATAAATACTGCTTTTATCAAATCATGACTACAGTTTTTATCTTTTCTAAGAAATAAAGTGAATTACTGTATGCTATCATTAATACTAAGTAATAATAATTGACTTATTTTTCTTAAGAATATCTCAAGACCCTCATTTTAGGGTTTTCTGACCCACAGTGGGGTCCTCGCCCAGTTTTTAGTCACCATGCTCAGAGTTTCACTCCTGTTCACTCCAGCAGACGACCACTGCAGGAATATCTCTGCTTTAGTTGTTTGTTTGATTGTTTTTACCTCTGCTCTATGTTGAAAAATGACAGATTTAAACCCATTTAAATCAAACCTTTAAAATAACGTTATGCAAACAATCTGCGATCTCACGCAACGTGTTTGCATTCAGGTTTCAATCCCTGCCAAACCAAATTATAACTCAGCATCTGTAAACTGAATTGAATTGAATTATAGCCACTTTGTGTTGCTTAAAGTCAACTAGCAGAGGCCATCTTGAATTGGGTTGACTCCAAAAGATAATAATCAGCTGTAATCCAATGATTAGTCTAAAAAGTTGAACTAAAACCTGTCTGGTAGTTTATTTTGCTGACAAACACATAGAAACTCAGCGGCAGGAAACAATGTGACATGCATGTTCTTCAAACACAAAAACTCAAAGAAAAGATCTTTATATTTAAGCACACGATTTAACCTATTTTGTCCCATAACTGTTATATTTTCTTTTAAACTTCACTCAGCCAAAGTGAAACAGGAAGTGACATCAAAGGGGAACTCTTTAACAAAAAAAACCTCCCTGGTCTTTGTTTATTGAAACAATATTATTTGAACTCTAACTCTTCTTCATCTCTCCCTGATAGAGACTAAAAATAATCTAAAGAAACATCAGATTCTTCTCTACAGTCTGGGTTGTTGGCTGTTGTAGCAGCACTCTGTTCACATGCAGACATTCCCCTTTGACATCACTTCCTGTTACTTCACAGGCAAATATCTCAACAACTGTTCATCTCAGCAACATGAAATTTATTTTGCAATATTTTATCAATGTCCTCTTTCTAAAAATGTATTCATATTTAATACAAAAATTTGACGTCACAGGCGCTTTAAATCACAGTTGGTCACAAAGAGATAGATTGTTCCAATTTATTACAAACAATAAATAAAAGGTTTGTTGTGTAAATCAGTGTTTTTACAACAAACAAAGTGATTCTCAAAGACCTGAAAACCTGTCATATGATCATCTGAAGGGTGAATCATCTATTTGGTCCTGGATCAGGTTTTTACTGGACTTGTATTTATTTATTTTTGCACACAGCTTTAAGGACTAGTGTTGACCTGCTGTAAATCCTGACCTTCTTCATGATTTTAACCCCACTCTGAACAACATGCTGTCATGGTTCAAACGCTGGACAGAAAATAAGTTCAAACGTAACCAAAATCCAAACAAACTTGCCAAAACTTCTGAAAACATGGAGAAATATTGATTGAGGCCATATTAACACATTAGACTGACGCCTGGCTGCAGCGTTTAAAGACATTAGTGGTGATTTGAAGCTTCTTTCACAGCTCTGTGTTGGTTTCAGCACTGGACAGCTCCAGAGACAAACTCTCAGGTCAGCACTGTGGATCTGTTCAGTGCTGAAATCCTCCTCTTCTTCTTCCTCAGTGTTTTCATCAAACTTTACATGAACTTTTTCTGTCGTTCAAAACAACACAAAACACCAGAAATGGTGCTGTCGTGACTGGAGCTGAGGACTGGAGCCAGTAGGTCCCCCAGTTTACCCACCTCATTTTTCACAGGCAAATCCAGGCTGAATCATACTGAAGCCTCATGGCTCCGTGTGTGTGTGTGTGTGTGTGTGTGTGTGTGTGTGTGTGTGTGTGTGTGTGTGTGTGTGTGTGTGTG